TTCTTTCCCACTTTTTGTAATCCATTCACTCGCTCCCCTTTATACACTGCTCTATGCTGTCTTTTCACAGCATCTGATGGAGTGAACTCGAGTTCACAAAAGCTTGTGCTCTATACATATCTTATTTAGTCTGTAAGGTGCATCTCCACCCAGCCTTTTGCCTTGAACTAACACCAGAGGGCAAGCAAGCAATGCCAGTGAGAAAGGAACTGAAGCAAGTAAGGGCTCCTGCTGTCTGTAATTGTCTAGCATTGTAAAGTCCTGACATCATGGTCATGTTGGGAGTTTATCTCTGACACAAATTGCCACAGGAAGCATTTTGTCAAAATTTCAATATCAAAGTGGCCACAGCATATATAGCAAGCAGCTTTATTTACTTAGGAGATAAAGTTAGCAGAGCTGAATGTTAAATTAGGGTGACAGTCTCTTGCTTCCGTATAAATGCCTAACGGAAGTCAATGCATCTCTGCAAAGGCAAACATCAAAGGAAATGCATTTCACAGTGTATTCATTTTTGTGTGCTGCCAGTTGTTTAAAACATAAGAAATGTAATGAAATCAGAAGCAACGCTGGGCATGCTAATTTTATGGCTTAGCTTTTGTAATCAAATAGTCACTTTGTATTCTAGTGTTTGACAAAATTAAAAGGACTAGATTGTGTCTATTTAATATTCCCTAAGCACTACATGAGTTAACCTATCCAATGGGAAGCTCTGGTGGCTTTTGCTTTGGGCACAATGGGCACTTTTACACACGCTCCAGGGGTGGGGCAGCGGTGTTTTAATTATAGTAGCTCCGAGAGACACTCTAATTAAAGCGCTGCCACACCTCCTGTATCAGCATCCCTGTGCTTAAAAGTAGTGGCAGGGGTGCTTGAACTAAAGCTTGTTTCATGAGCTTTAGTTCAAGTGCCCACCGACTCAGGAGGCTGCTGGAGCATGGCATTTGCCACGCTCCAGCAGACCCTGTTAATCGAGTCTGCTCCAACGTGTTGGGATTCCAGTGTCCTGGGAGCAGCAAGAACACCCCTAAGGCCTGCAGCATATCTCCCCCTGTTTGAATACTGATGTTGAAAAGCTGTATAACCATTAAGCAGAAAAGCAGAAGAACAGGGGGGCTTGTCTGTCAAATCGGATTTCTGTCTCTCTCTGACAAAATTGAAGACCACTTGCACAGGATTTTGGTTTAGCTTACTATAAAAAAGAAGCGTGAAAGGATATATAATTAAAATCCTAATTCGGACTCAATATCCCAAACCTCTGATTTCAGTGATTTTCTGATCTGGGATGGATCTATCTCAATATTGAAAAAAGGATCAATTTTCAAAAATATGTAATAGAAATAATTACTATTTTATGTGTAAATATGTTCACTCGATGCATAATTAAATATGACAGACACTCTCTTTCCTAGGACCTTCTTGACTACCAGTCAGCCCCTTGCTCAAACACGTACTCAAACTCTTACCCAAGTCCATGGAGTAAGGACTGAATGAGGAGGTCCTAAGGATTTCAACTTTGTATAGAACTATTTTCTCATGGTTGTTATAAGCAGGGATCTGGGTTTTCAGTTTCCCGTGGATAAACGGAAAATGCGGATTTTCACCTTTACCCAAGAAAAATGCAGATTTTTCATTTTAACAGAGAAATATGCGGAGCTTGCTTTTTTGCTCTCTGCAGGCTGGCAGAGTTCCAGCCTGCAAGGGGCTGGGGGCAGTGGGAGGAGGGCGGTCAGGCAAGGGGTGCCATGTACATGTATATGCACATGGGTGCCAGGGCAGCTCCCACAGGTAAGTGAGGGACAGGGACTGAAGACCCCATACTGAGGTAGGGAGGGAGGGAGACAGTTGGGCAGGGCAGGGCTGGGGCTGGGGCTGGGGCTGCTGGCGATGCATGGGGCTTGGGGCCTGGGGCCACAAACCACAGCTGCAGAGCGGGCACCAGCAGGAAGCGGGATGGGGCCACAGGTGGCTTGTCCAGGGGGCTGGTCAGCTCCCTGCTGCTCCACGCACTCTCACGGGGGGGTAGGTGGGACCTGTGCCCCCCAGATCTGTGTGCAGGATGGGGGTGGGGGTGGGCTGGCTGCTGTGGGCTCAGGCTCCCAAACCCTGCTTCCACCTCCGCGGCCGCTGCAGCCCAGCGGGTGAGACCCGGCACAGCAGGGCAGCACGGGGCTAGGCAGGGAAGCTCACTGTGACTGCTGCAAGCCCCGCGCTGCCCTGGTGAGGCATCCCCTGTCTGCCATGCAACAGTGAGAGCACAACCCCGTGCTGATATCCCTGCTGCTCTAGGGCAGACAGGGGGCATGTTACCAGGGCAGCGTGGGGCTCACAGTGGTGGCAATGAGCTTCCCCACCCAGGCCCGTTCTGCCCTGCCATGCCAGGTCCCACCTGCTGGGCTGTGGAGGCCCCAGTGGAGGGCAGCAGGATGGAGAGCCTGAACCTACAGCAGGCAGCTGGCCCCACCCCGCGCGTAGATCTGGGGGGCATGGGGCCCTCTTGAACACCCGGAGTGTGCACAGTGGCAGGGAGCTGGCTCTACCGCCCAAGTCCGCAGCAGGCAGCCTGCACCCACCCTCCACGGGCTCCGCTCCAGCCATGCCACCCATGAGTGAGCTGCAGCAGCCACCACCTCTCACGCGTGGTAGGCAAGGCTCGGGTGCTGCTGCGGGGGGCAGGGTACTGTGGACTTGGATCCCTCACCCCGTACCCCTGGCCTGCTCCAGTAGGGATGGGAGGGCAGGGGCTGTGGATGGGGAGTGAGAAGCATCAGCAGGGCCCAGGAGGCTGTGAATGGGGAGTGCGGGGCCTGGACTTGGGTCCTGGTGAGCTAAGGGGGCAGGGAGACCTGTGATTTTCCATAATAAAAATCCCAAAATCAAATATGAAAATTTACAGGTACTTAGAATTTATTTTACTATAGTGACTGAGGCACTGGTAGGCTTCCACATCACTTTAAAGTTGTAAATAAAAAACATTGTGTTCAATTGATACCTACATACATATATAGTGGCATTTCGTTTTAATCATGGATCGTGGGGTTTTTATCAGAGAATTTGCAATTTTTTTTTTTTTTTTAATCAGTGAAGTTGTGATTTTTTTTTTTTTAATATCAGAGAAAACTAGGATTCCTAGTTATCAGGTGTTATACAGGAAGTCATTGTAGACTTAAGAAGTGGAGGCTTATTGAAAGTATTGGTTTGTCATCAAACTTTCTGAAATGTAACATTCTCTCAACTAGGTGCATGGAAATCAGCCAGTAGAATCACAGACACGCCTACGTGTGACTCACACATCAGTCATGTGATGGTTAACGTACAATAAATGATTGACACTACAACCCCTCAGTCAGTGTATATATTTTAGTACAGCATATTCAACCTTTTCAGACACTACAGAACCTTAAAAAGAATAAGGGCCTTGTTACACAGTAATTTTGGGCCGCTCCTGGAGCTCTTAACACCTGAATTGTCCTCACATTAACAGCTGAAACTAATTTTAAGCACTCGTTAGTCAGCTCAAAGTTACACCGCTCCAGGGCAGGATTATCTCTGACCTGTTTTACCCATCTTGCGTTACACTCTGGTGTAGCCACTCTAGGCTACATCTTAGTGTAAACACCCCACTCAGCCCCTTTCTCCTGCTGGCCTGGATTGGACCCACTATCTCCCCTGCCCACCCCAGCACCCCAAATCCCCACTTACTGCCCCCCTGCCAGCCTGCCCCCATTTATTTGTGGCTGCTCATGTTGTCTGTCCCAGGGGAGCAGGCAGGGGAGGGTTAGTGTGGACAGCAACAAATAAACAGGCAGGTGGTGTGGAGAAGCCCCGGGGCAGTGGCAGGGGGGAACCAGGGGAGCGCCTAGGGGATGCGGGGTGAAGCCCAGAACGGGAGGGATGGGATTCTTACTTTTCAGTCCTCCAGACTCCTGCTTGCCTGAACGTGCAATTCCTCCAAACTTGAGCTAGCGCTAACACCAAGCTCGAGCTAGCACTAATAACATACAATATGTGAATGGTGCACAGCATATAACAAGGCCTATATCTAGTTCTTTAGATACTAGGTGAAATTTTTTTTTTCATAATAATGTTGTCCACTGCTATCCAACTGTAGTGAAGGTTGACATTTTACACCTGAATTTTTTATGACATTTCAAATTTTGAAATGCAAAAAAGTGGAGAGAAAATTTTGAATTTTTTTTTGTTTTGTTTTTTTTTGGTTTTTTACTTTTCCCTTAAGTTTTGCCTGGTAACTTGTACCCAGAGAATTATTTGAAAATGTTTTCTGACAATAAGTTTTAGATTTCTTCCTATCACTTTTTCATCAGCATTATTTAAAATGAGCCATTATTTATATTTCTTTTATATACATACTTTATAGAATAAAATTAACACACACAGAGGGAAAAATAGATAGTTAGAGACAGACAAACACATAGACACACAGACTAATAGACATCATCAGGGAAATGTTATATTGCCTCTATTTAAAGTGTGTGTGTGTGTGTGTGTGTGTGTGTGTGTGTGTGTGTGTACACATACATACACCCACAACCTGCCTATTCTTACAGATACTCATTGTTTCAGCCAACAATAGAAGCTGAAACAATGGCTACATCTAAGTCCTATTAAAAGACAAGATTTAAAAACTGAGTACATCATCATTATTTAATATTCAAAAAATAAATGTACTCAGAGGTTTATTAAGTACTGGCATTTCATGCATGATCTCTCCACCTACAGATGGAAAAATAACCAAAAAACAAGCAACCAGAACATGAGTGATAATGAGTGAGGAAACAGACAGTCTGGGCACAGTGTTATCTAAGAGAAACGGAAGACATATATAAAAAGGGAAGGTAGAAGCCGGAGCTGTCAGCATGAGCAAGAGTTGAAAGGATAATTTAAAACATCCTGAGAGTACAATATCAGTTACTAATTTTTTAGGGGGGGGGAAGGTCCCCTGACTAAAAATAGAAGCATACTCTTAAACAGATACCTACTGTACCAGGTCTTGGATATGGGATGCGACCTTCATATTGTACCCATCGATGATCCACACTTTCTTTATGCGCATAAGGACCATTGAACACAGCTCTGATATCAGCCATGCTGTACACGCATACTGCAGAGCCCTTGAATACAGAGCTGAAAGAAAATAATCATATTTACAAGGACTTAAACATATTTATAAAAGCATATTTATAAATGACCTCTACATTACAGAACTGATCCACAGTTCACTGAAGATAATATAATCATCCTCACTGACTCAGATTGGCTTTGTATCTAGCACTATATCTGATTGTTATTATGGCTGAGTACTATTTACAATTTATGTACATTATGGATTGTAGAATCACAGAAGAGTAGGCTAGAGGGAACCTTAGGAGGCCACTTAGTCCCACGACTTCAAGGCAGAATCATTTCTGACTAAGCCATCCAAGTGTCTCTTGAAAAATGTCTATAACCTCTTTGGATCGTCTCTTCCAATGCTTAATAACCATCACCCTACATTTCTCTTTCTGTAATGTAAGACTCCTTGTTCTGTCTTCTACGGCCACAGAAATGAGTCTATCTCCACCCTTCAGGTATTTGAAGCCTGTTATCAAATACCACTGCCTCCCCTATACCCCACCTCATCTTTAGCTCTCCAGACTAAATAATCCTAGTTATTTCAGACTATCCTAATAAATTTCCTGGACCTCTAATAATTTCTTGTCACTCTCCACTGGATTCTGCCTAATTTGTCCATATCTTTCTTGAAATGAGGAGCCCTAAATGGGATACAGTACTCCAGTTGAGGCCTTACAAGTGCTATTAGAGCAGGAAAATCACTTTCCTTGATTTGGAAATGACACTACTATTAACACAGCCCAGTATACTATTGGCCTCTTTTTGCAACAAGATGACACCGTTGGCTTATACAGAATTGTAATTATCAGGTCAAAGGTTATCAGGCTATACTTAATATCATTCAGAAAAAGAATTTAAAGCTTTGCTCTGTTGGAGCCTAGGCTTGTCAAATCTGTGAACATCCTGGATGCATGTTTTAACCTAGAGGTTGAAGGGATCTGGAGATCATGGGGCAATTGGGAGAGGTCCCGGATGATTGGACAAGGGCAAATGTAGTGTCCATTTTTAAGAATGGGAAGGAGGATCCAAGGAATTACAGACCCACCTCAATCCCTGGAAAAATCATAGAGCAGGTCCTCAAGAAATCCATTTTTAAGTACTTGGAGAAGGCAGTAATTAGGAAGAGTCAGCATGGATGCACCAAGGGCAAGTCATGCTTGACCAACCCCTTTGCCTTCTATGATGAAATGAATGGCTCTGTGAATGCGGGAAGAGTAGCGGACGTGATATACCTTGACTTTAGCAAGGCTTTTGATATGACCTCAGTCAACATTCACCTTCCCTGTGAAGACTGAAGTGAAAAAGGCATTGAGCACTTCAGCCTTTTCTGCATCCTCTGTCACTAGGTTGCCTCCCCCATTTTAGTAAGAAACCCAGAACTTTCCCTGATCTTCCTCCTGGTACTGCCATATGTGTAAAAACCCTTTTTGTAACCCTTTATGTCCTTTGCTAATTGCAACCCCAATTGTACTTTGGCCTCCTGATTTCATCCCCTCATGTCTGAGAAGTGTGTTTACACTCCTCTCTAGTTGTTTGTCCAAGTTTCCAATACTTCTAAGCTTCCTTTTTGTGTTTTAGCTCACTGTAGAGTTCCCTGCTAAGCCAAGCTGGTCTTCTGCCATACTTTCTACTCTTCCTGTGCAAAGGGATGGATCATTCCTGCACCCTCGGTAAGCTTTCCTTAAAATAAAATCAGCTCTCCCATACTCCTTTGCCCCCCAGACTGGCTTTCTAGGGGATCCTGGCCATCAGTTCCCTGAGCGAGTCAAAGTTGGCTTTTCTGAAGTCCGGAGTCCGTACTTTGCTGCTCTCCTTTCTTCCTTTCCTTAGGATCATGAACTCAACCATTTCATGGTCACTGCTGCCCAAGTTGCCATCCACTACTACATTCCCCACCAATATTTCCCTGTTTGTGAGCAGGAGGTCAAAAAGAGCATGGCCCCTAGTTGCCCTCTCTAACAGTAGCACCAGGAAGTTGTCCCCTACCCTCTCCAAAAACTGCTAGCTGTATGAAGAAAGTCTCATCTACCTCACCCTCCTGATCTGGCTGTCTACAGCACATACCCACCACAACTTTACCCTTGGTGCTCTCCTCTTTGAACCTAACCATAAGACTTTCAACAGGCCTGTCTCCAGTTTCATTCTGGAGCTCTGAGCAAACATACAGCTCTTTTACATAAAGCACAACTCCCGCTCCAGTTCTCTCCTGCCTATCCTTTTTGAACCCATCCATGACAGTGTTCCAGTCATGCGAGCTCCCACCAAGTCTCTGTTACTCCAGTCACATCGTAGTTCCACAATTGTTCACAGATTTCCAATTCTTGTTTGTTTCTCAGGCTCCTTTGATGAAGATAGTTTTATTAAATTACCTCATAGACTGTACTGTGGAGGTCCTCACAAGGGTATCTGAGTGCTACAGAATACATTATTTGCCTTAACAAGGAGAGGAGGAAGTGTTATTTTTCTACCACCTTCACCTGTAAATCAGGCTGTAGTACTATAACCCATTTGCTATTGTAAGTGACCTTCTGCTAGATGACTCTGAGATACAATCCTGTTTAATTTCCAAAGATATTCAAGATCAGCCAACAGAGGGGAATGAAGGGACTTCACAGGGAGGTGCTGAGTTCTCAGTCAAGATGTTCAAGAAGTTATGAATTTTGAAATTCAATTACATCATAAACTAGAACAAATATATAATATTTTTGTGAAGTTTTCATTCTTGTTTTAAACTACCTTTTGAAGATCAGGCACCTATTTAGCTACCTAGAAAAGAATTTGGGAAACTAACTTTATGCACCTATTTTTGAAAACACAAGCCATGGTGATTAGCAGTCCAATCCTTATTTAGAACAACTCCCTTTGACCTGAAGGCATTTTTCCCTTAATGAAGCTTTCAGGAGTGGATTTCAAGGGTGAATGTAACCCTACACATACCTTGAAGTGGTGAAGACTCCATACACTAGAGGGTTTCTCTCATCTCTTGTAGAAAGTAAGAATATATCTTCTGCAATAGGAAAAGTTTGTTTTTATTGAATAGCCATTAAACACTTCCACATTCACCACCTTTTTATTTGACACTTTGTAAACATACAATAAATCCTGACACTTCTTTGATTTTGCATTTTTGTCCTGTGAATTATACTAAAGTGCTGAGTTATTCTGACTGTGAATGGGCTGATTTCTACATGGAACCAGATGAACATCTCTCCAAAGAAAGAAAGGAGAGTAAAAATCATTCTGACTGAGCTGACGCTCGATTTAAATCAGCAATAATTTTGTTAATGTCAATGCAGCTGCCAGTGCTGGGAAATGTGATGTTAGATTGAGGCCCCAAACTGCTGTCAAGCAAAACAAAAATATAAAATGAAGTTACGGAGTAAAATCATAAAAGTCACTTCAACTTACGGAGCTCATCAAAATGTGTGTCTGCTCCTTCAGGCCCAGGTATTGAACACACCAGCCTTGCTTTAAGGAAAGTTGTCCACTTATTTATGAGGCTCCGCTGACCGCCCATATCATTCTAATTGAGAAAGACAGATAGTTTTGCTTAACAAACATTTGAGTAAAATAAGTGACTTTACCTAAATATCTGAAACATCTGATGATGCCCTTCCAAGCCATTTTTATAACCATGCTTCTTGTCTTGTGTCAAATTCTGACCACACCTATACCATCTGTGTGCATGAATGCACACACGTGTGTGTCTGTGTGCACATACATGCACATATATGTAGCAGAATAAAGATTAAGGGGAAGAGCTTGACATAAACATTTCTCTAGAGAGAAAGGCTGAGGATAGCAGGTGCAGGACCTCCCAGAGTTAACGTTGCAGTGTGATTTACTTTACAACATCACTGTTATTTGTTTATAACCTTGTGACTTTTACCTTTTCAGCTGGAGTATGTGAGACTTGTTCTTATACATTTATAGATTCATAGATTATCCCAAACGTGTTTTTGTTTTTTCCTTTAAAGTTTGAGAAACACCCATTTTGATTTATTTTTTCCCTTTAACTAACCATTTCTCAGCACCAAGTGAAAGATTAAATGTTATCCTCTATCTTCAATGCTGTTTGTGTTGTTTCTTTGGTCAGTGTGTCATACGTGAAATGCCCCAAACCACCTGGCTCCTTCTCCTGTAGCCTCTTACTCTCATTAGAGTTATTTTTGCAATCTGCAGTTCTTTAAGAATTGTTTATAAACAGAATAATCACAAGATTATTTTGGACATAAGTCTCAAAGACAAAATACTACACTTCCCTGTGGTTATATAAATGAAAATATTGTGCTGTTGGCCATATGCATATAAAGCATAGGGAGGTACATCACATTACTCATTTGAGTCAATGTTCTCATTTCAGTTTTTTTCTATATTCTCCTCTAGATGATTTCCACTGTGCTGCACCAAAGGATCTAAAAGACTCTGCTAAATGATTTAAGGATTTTTCTGAAGACATAAGAATTATGATATCTGTTCCAGGACACAGCTGGAAAATTTTGTTGCTGGGGGAAAAGGGCAATTCGGCAATTAGCATGCACCTGCAGGTAGCTCAGGCAGTCTGCTGACTGGAAGGGTGCAGGGCCCTGGGAGGATATAACCCTGAGGCTTGGGCTAGCAGGCTGATCTCTCCCTGGCTGCCACAGGGTGAAGAACTCCAGCAGCAGGGCTCCTGAAGGGACTGCAGTGCTGCATATAGATCCCCAGTGAGGCCAGGGGAGCCCGCTAGGCTATGGACCAGGGCTGAGAGGCTATCCTAGTTGAGGGGTCAGAGAATATTTTCCCTCTTAACGGGGCAGAGGACTGCTTCCCTTTGTGTTTATGTTATAGCCCAAGAGCTTATGGTTTATGTCAGTTTTATACCAGCGGTTTGGGCTGGCATTGTAGGGATGGTATACAGAGGTCCCATTGGTACTCATGGGGCATGTGATTGCCTTGAGCCCTGTCAGGCTATTGAGCCCAGAGCGGGCAGGGAGTGGGGCCACAGAGCCAGACATGGGCCAGGGGCCCAGTGCCTGAGAGGGATGCAACCAGACAGGGGCCAGAGGCCCAGTGCCCGAAAGGGGCATGACCAGACAGGGGCCTGGAGCCTGGAAGACAGAGGCCAGGGGCCCAAAATCTGAAAGAGACAGACCAGAGCTAATGCCTCAAAGCCAGGTTCAATACAGTGGGCATTGGCTAGAAGGCTTAGCTGAGAGCAAAGGGAAGCCCCAACAAAAGAACAGTGTGATAGCAACACCCAAGAGGCTTGGGCTGTGGCATAGGAAAGGGCTGGAGCCATATATTTAGTCCCTAAGGCGTCAGATGCCCTGCAGCAGCACAGCTGTATAGAAGGCCCAGCTAGGGGCTTAAGACCAGAGAGGCCCAGCGAGGGACCTGGGCATAGATCAGTACAGTGCTGAGAAACCCCAGTGGGGGATCAGTTGGACTGGGGCCATGTTAAGGCCTGTGGACAGCCTACCTATTATTATTATTATTATTATATTTCCACTAAGCAGGGCACAATCACAGTGCCACTAGGGGGTATTACAGCCACCCCTGGAATCCCAATGTGCTACACACAATCAAAATGATACAATCATGCCGCAGAGCACCGAGGTGCTCTGCTTCTAGAGAGGAGAAACTGCCAGGGAGAGAGAGACAGAGCCCTGGCAGGTCATAATGAGCCCAGCTGAGGGTTGCCAGGGTAACAAGCGCAGCTGCGGGTCGCCGGAGCAACTAAGGGGAGCCAGCTGCCTGGAGGGGGCAGGGCCTGGCCCTTATAAAGCCCAGGGCTGAGGCCAGGCTGGCAGTTCCCTGCCAGCAGCTGGAGAGGCAAGAGCTCCCTCAGCCAAGATATGGGGAGAAGCCTGACTTGCAAGTACAGCTCACGATAGCCCTGAGAGGATTGGGCACTATGGTTTAGCCAGGGGGCTTTATATTTGCGTTACAGCCAGGAGGCTCTAGTTTATGTTCGGCTTACATATTATACCGGAGGCTTGGGTGAGTCTGTAGGGGTTGGAGGAGGCCTCATAGGGACCCCAGAGAAGGTGGGGTGCCCTAGCACCAGTGAGGGTGCAGTCTAGTGCCAAGGGGGCGCATTATCCTCATAGGGACCCCAGAGGTGTGGGGGCCCTGAGCGCAACCAGTGGGTTGCGGACGGGGAACAGAGACCCCGGGTTGTATGCGGGATACGTAGACCCCGGCCCCAGAGAGGGGCAGCTTTGAGACGCCCCAGAGGGGGCATG